GGCCCCTGAGCAAGGCCCTTAACCCCAGCTGCTCCAGGGGCGCTGTACAATGGCTGACCCTGCGCTCTGACCCCCAGCTTCTCTCCCTGTCTGTGTCAGGGAGCTGGGGTATGCAAAAAGATGAATTCCTAATGCAAGAAATTGTATAGGGCTAATAAAGTGATGTTATGTTATCATCGCGCTAGGCAGCTCGCCAGTGATCTCAGAGTGCTCTCTTACACATGTGACATGGTGTCCTTTAACACTTAAAGAGGTCATCCAGAAAAAAACAGCAATATGAAATAACCGAGGGCTGAGTGAAGCACCTGAACAGCACACGGGAGGTACAATGCACAACTACAACAATGACAGCAGAGCAGAACATGTCAAGGAAAAAACAGCTGGAGAACAGCATAGAAACTAGCCTCACTGTAGCACCTGAAAATAAGAGCTGGCAAGGAGAAAAGCAGTGTTCTCCGATGCTGACTGCCTTTATCTCCTCCAAAGGGAAACACCAATACGAGTGACCTGAGGGTTTTAACACGATGAAAGGCCAGGCACAAGAGAAAGCACCCCTGTATCCATATCCACTTCCACCCAAGCCCAAGACTGGCGGTTTCCTCATGGTCATCCATCCTGCCATGCCATATGGCACTGTGGGAATTTCCCCATGATGCTTTGGTGCCACACTCGTTCCTATTCAACAGGACGGAGCTGGCTGGAGGCACTGAAGGGTGTGAGGATTTTTCAAGGGCTAGGACTCGTCACCCCAGCATTTCGCTGTCCAAGGAGAAAATCCACTTAGACACTGGCACGACATTCTAAGAATTTTTGGTCACTTTTTTTAAACCTGCAGTATAAGTATAAGTATGCAGTATAAATATGGAGAGCCCAAGTCAGAAAGCTATGGAGAGCTGTGCAGCTCTTGGGAGTGTCCCAAATAGCTGTGCAAGCTAAACTACACCAGTTTACAAAATGGCCTGACAGCACTGTGAACGAGTAAATTAGTAAGTCAAAGGTGTATGGGAAAAAATAAATCCATCAAAAACAGAACTAAACAGAACTAAATTGAACTCTGAATAACAAAAGATTAAGTTCAACATTTCAACATCTTAACATTTTTGAAATGTCCTATATAAAGTATACTACCCTTCCAAAATAAGTATTAGTAAGATTCTTGGATGCACCACAGCTGCAACAGATCACAACATTCAAAATGTAACACTTCTAAGGTTAAATCTCATATTTGTTTTAAAAACAATTTTAAAAGTCCCAGAGAGCTACTGGAATGCCTGCAGTTTTTCTTCCTCTGCAACAATGTTATCCACTTCAGAAACAAAAACATTAACCCCTTCTTACATCTCTTCCAGCTGAGTGTAAGGACCGTACAGGGGATTATCAGGAAGCAGAGACCAAAACCCAAAGTCTTCTGAGGGTTTGAAAGGTCCTCCTGCTTTATGTTTTCCACCATTTCTCCACACTTCCAGGGTTCTAAGAGTGTCAGGTCAACAGCTCCTGACAAAGACGTGTGTGAATAATTCGCACCACATTTCAGCAGAGCAGAAAAACACCCATTAAAAGCCTAAAAATACATGCCAGTAAATCACGCCAGTCCTTTGAAGGCTCTCATGTTGTTTACAGATGGGCTGCTTGCTTAATGAGGCACCCGCTTCGGACCAGCACAAAGGACAAAGCCTGAGCCTAACGAGGACAAAACGAGAACTTCCAGAGCCTGGTCCTCCCGTGCGGCCCGCCACCTGCACCCCTGCACACCTGGCACCTGCGCCCCCGGGCACCTGGCGCTGCGCGGGCACCGACCGACCTGAGCCGAGCGTCACGCCCGCCGCCGTACTTACCCTGCCCTCGGACCCGGGGCTCAGCGGCAGGAACCGCATGGCCACGACCTCGCCTCGCGCGTTAATCACTATGCGGATGAGCAGGTAGGGGTCGGTCTCGCCCGTGTCACCCAGGGTTTTCGGCGAGGGGCGGCTTCAAAAAAATCACGGGCGACAAGGCCAAAAATATATAGATATATCTTCGAAAAAAAGAAACCCTCCAGCCAACGACACCCCTTTCTACCTCGGACTGACGCCTCCAGGACAAAAGCACATGCCGGCCGGCTAGCGTGGTGCATTAGCAATCGGGCAGTGACACGCCGGATTACATCTGTGAGCAACTGGCCGCCGGAAACTCAATATTATCGAAAACACATTCGGCATCTCGGCAGATAGGAAATACAAATATAGGAGCGCAGTGATTTAATCCTTCCGCTTTCTACTCCACACTCCACTGTCCTAGCGGAGCCGAATAACTCCTGCGGGATGTGCCGAAGCAGATTCCTGGCTAATGTTCAGATTGGGGGGGGTTGGGGGGGGGGGTAGGGCTATCATGTGTTTCCAACAAATAACATACAAGGTGATGGCTTTAAATCTCCTCTTCCACGTTTAACCACTGCACCCAGAGAGTGTCCTTCTTGTCTTACTATCTGGTTATTCCCCCAATATCTTCTGAATAATCACCTTCCCCCTTGTACCTCAACTGCAGAGGCAAGAGCAAAACTATTGCTTTGCACGTGACTGACTGCATCATCGATGCAGCGTTCGTTTTCCTTTTTTTCCCGGAAATTGTGATTTCCCATTGAACGCCCAAATCACAGAATGCTCCCTTTGTGGATTCTGGATCTGGAGAGAAGAATGAGCTTTGCCAGGGATCAGGGATAAGAGAGGAAAAGATCTTCAGTCAACGGCCATCTGCTGAGACATTCAGACCGCAGAGCGACGACTTGCCAGGTGGAGGAGAATAACTACAGAAACAGCTGTATACTCCGAAATCCTGAATGTTGCCTCTGGACCTCTGGAGCTCTCGGTAGCTCAGCTTGTGGGTAAGCTGCAGGACATGGGAATGACGAGCCTCCATACTGATTTTATATCAAGGCTCTCACACCCCCGAGAGGGCTGGCTAGGATTCCCACCTGGCAGACTGACAGGCTGAAAACTGAGCCCAGGCAGCAGAGAGCAAAGCTGCTGCTCGGCCATTAATCCGTTGCATTGCGCTGTGCCGAGAATTCAACAGAATATTTTGTCAGGCTGATTACTGAGCAGAGAATCCGACGCTGAGTACTTCATAGCCCTATTTTTAGAACAAGAGCCCGTGGGGGTCTGAGTGCTGGTCCCAAAAAATCCTTAAAAACGCCTAATAAATCTCAACGCTTAAAACAAGAGACGGCGACGCCACTGCGAGCGCAACCGGTCTTTTCCCAGAGCCACACACGTAATAATAATAATAATAATAATAATAATAATAATAATTGCTTACACTTATATAGCGCTTTTCTGGAC